GTTGCGACAACTATTTAGAGATAACTATGTCAAGTAAAGATGGCACGTAGATGACAGTCGAGAGACGGGGTTTGGTGATTACTAATTGAGAGATGATGGCCAAATAATAATTGAATGATGGCAGTTTTCAAATCATCAAGTTCTCTTCAACCCTGAGTATACATCTTGAATTTAATTTTTTTGGTTAAAATCTTAGTACATTTTTTGAGATGCCTCATGTTAATTCATTTGATTATAAATTATTCATTTAATATTTATGTGTTTTAATTACTTTAAAATTGAGAGAGCTACAGCTTGATGGATTCCTTTGATTGTGACATTTGATTTGATTATAAGAATTTAAGATTTAAAGACCATTTGGCTCTTTATTTATTTAGATTTTTTTTTAATTTTATTATTTTGTATTTAGAGTTTGGATGCTTATAAAATTACTTTTGAATTTCTTACCACAATAAAAAATAGCTTTAAAAATATTTTAATTGTGGTTTTAATTTCTATTATAAATAGCAATAATTTTAACCACTACTATTTGTTGAATCAGTTTAACAAATACATAAATAAATAAATAAATAAATAAATAAATAATATATATATAAATAATATATATATATAAGAATGGTCGGAGACTATTATACTAGCTTCGATCATCTCTTATGCGCCTAAGAATTCAAGTACCACACCCTACACTCGGAGGGAAATGAATCTCAGACCAGAGGAGATTTACAAACCGACAAATTGATACCCGGCCAACTGATCTGAGTATGCGGCGTTCATAATGAAGCAAAAAAAAATATATATATATATATATATTGCTTGAACAAAAATTTTGCCTAAGGCAACTGAAATTTCATTTTTTCACTTAGGGAGGGCCTTTCAGGTCTTGCCATGTGGCTTAAATCGCCAGAAAAATAAAACATGCCCCAAATGGGGTAGGCGTGACCACGCCTAGATGGGTCACTCCCACGTGAAATTATTGCGTCCGCCCACCGCACGCAGAGGTGTGCGGTGGGCCAATAAAAATTTCTCCTTTACCAAAAAAGTGTTTGTCAGTGGACCAACTTTTAATTTTTTTTTAAAAACAAATTTTTTTTTTTCATTGGACGGCGCACGCGAGATGCGTGCGCTGTCCGCACGCGAGATGCGTGCAATAACAGCTCCACTCCCACATGGGGGTGTAACCACGCTCAGAAGTGCCACACCACGCTCTTCAACCGTTTTTCATTTTTGTTTTAGCTCACTGCATAGTCTCCCGTTTTTTCCATCTGTACATCAGGATAAGCCGTTGAACCGGTGCTAAGCCAAAAATGGCCGCTGAGCTAACTTGGGTGCTTGCCAAAAGAGAAAAATGGTCATTTGAATCTGAATATCCTTCTTGCATGGGATATATTGGGAGATCGCGCTCATATCACTTGGGGAGAGACAAGAATGATCATAGAGAGCTAGAGGAGAGTTCTGGAGAGTTCTTGGAGAGCCTCTGCACCCTTCTTCTTTTTCTTCTTCTTTTTCTTCGTTTCTTTCTTCTTTCTCCTCTCACATTTTCTTTCTTGTTCACCGTCTTGGTCCAAGAAACGAAGGGGAGAGACAGAGAACTTGAAGAGAAATCACAAAAGTGCTTGGAGAGTTTCTCAGAGAGCTTCTGCATTCTTCTTCCTCTTGCATTTTCTTTCTCAGTCACCGTCTTGGTTCGAGATACAGAGAGGAAGAGCGAAGCATGATGTTGCACCAGCACCGGAAAACTCCTTGCTAGGAGAGCTTCATCACCCAAGGGGGGCAGAGGCCAATACTTGGAGCGTCAAGGGGATCTCCTTGTAACAAAGAGAACTTCTTCTTGAGCGACGACTAGACTTCCATCAACCACCGTGCCGGTACACCCTCCTCAACCTTCGCATTTTCTTTTTTAGCCAACTTTAGGATTAGATTTTTCTAGGTGTTGTGGGTTTGGTCGTCAAAATGAGGCAAGTCTGACCAACCACCTAGTATCGTTTGACTTAATCAAGTGCCCGTTATTGGACGGTCTAATTGGTTGAACAATACTAGTCGACCCGACCACACACCTTTTGATTGGCTATTTTGTGTTGTCACCGTGGATTTGGTCGCCCTCACTAGGCAACTTGGTCGGCAGACATTAGTCGGGACGGACATATGCCTATTGATTAGCCAATTTTATCTTAGAGAAAGCTCTAGGTTAGGACATTACATATGTGGCCAAATATCTAGCGAATCCAAGAGTGTTTCCTTGCGAGCCTTAGCTCCAACCTGAGCGCGTCAAAATCCAATTTCCAACGACTGTAATGGAATCCAATCCTTTGTGGAGGAATAAGAACTTTGCACTTGCGAAATGGGAAAAACTTTGTAGTTAATCTATTTTGTAAGAGGAGGAGAATCATTCCTCCAAACAATCGAGCGGGAAAATTCCTTGCACTTATTTGCTACAGTTGGAGGTGGCTACGTCATATATCCATGTGTGAAAACCCTAGGTACCTATGTAAGGTCGATAGGACGAGTTCGACGTGTCATCAAAGTATTTTGGGTTGCATTGCTTGCATGCTCATTTGTGACATTTTGCTTATTGCATATCGATAGTGTGAGCACCTTGGTTCGATCAGCCGCCCCGGTCCGATCACCAATTCATTTTGGTTTGATTGGTCGTCCCAGCCTAATCGACTATTCACTTTGATTTAATTGGCTGCCCCGGTCCGATCGCCAATTCACTTTGGTTCGATCTGTCATCCCAACCTAATTGACCAAATCGACTATTCACTTTGGTTTGATTTTCTCCTGGCTTGATCTTTAATTCACTTTAGTTTGATCGGCCGCCATGGTCCGATAACCAATTCACTTTGATTCGATCGGCCACCCTGGTCTGATAACCAATTCACTTTGATTCGATAGATCGCCTCAACCCGAACGAAAATTCACTATGGTTCGATCGGCCACCCCGGTCCAATCACCAATTCTCTATGGTTCGATCCCCAGCCCCGATTTGATCGACAATTCGTTGTGGTTCGATCAGCTGCCCCGAGTCGATCGATCATTCACTTTTGTTTAACCGGCTACCCCGCTGACTTCAAAAGGTGCAAGCTTGTTTGCATTTTGCAATCATGCTTGTTTGATATGTTTGTCTTATATGCTTTGCATGTAACATGTTTGAATGTCTCTTTAAGCATCCATGCGTCGGGCATCTCTTTGAGCACCTCCACTTGTGGTGTCTCGCTGAGCAGCCACACTTGCAACTGTTTCCCCACATACGTCATTGTATGCTTGGTGATAGGCACTTGCGCACGTTGTGAGGAGGTGGCTTAAATGAGCCAATCACCTCGCTTTCCATGACACCGCCTAGAGTATCATAAATATTTAATACTGTGTTAAGTACATGTTCTGCTTCCTAGCCACTAAACCCATACGAGACAATATGTGTTCACCTAGGTGTGCGATTTTCACTAGTAAGGATCATATCACTTAATATGTTTAGCACTTAGAATTCTTGTATGTTTGTCATTTGAGTGCCATTTGCATGTTATATGCTCAACATCCATCATATGTCTGTCTCATATCATGAATGTTTGCATATCTTGAATGTTTGCATGTGTGTTCGGTTAGTGTCTCTCGGGTAAGATGTAAACCTTTGTTATATGTATCCTTTTACTATATGCAAATTCACTCATAATCAGTGCCAGCTTGTTGCATGACACTCCGAATTCCTCGGGTAGGAGTAATTCATTCCCATAGGTAACCTGTTTTACCAGTATATCTCATTTTTGTGTCATGTTGCTTGTAGTTATCCCTGCATTTATTTGTATGATATGTGTTTCACTCTTTTGGGCACCCGTTGTGATTCTTTCTTGCTTCGGTCGAACAATCATAATGTGGGTTTTTTACATGCTTGTATGTTTGCTCATTTGCCTTAATAGCTTATCAAACTCGTCACGGAGCCCGCAAGAATATCTCGGAGAGAAATGCGAGTTTCTGTTTCACAAATAACGAATAATACGACTGTGCTAAAAATCCAATGACTCTAAAATACGTCACATGTGTCACACACCCACATTTTATTGTCCCCTATTTTAAAGTATAAAAGATGATGCCTTTTATGGCCACACCGACTTAGAAAATATTACATGCTAATAATATAGGTGTAACACCACCACTAAAACAGCAGCTATGCTATCCGCATGTAATATTTCTTTTTCAGATAGGGCCTTGTGTCCCTTAGGGTGTAAATTATATTGTTACTATATGCTCTATTGTTATTGATGTCGATAATACGTTAGAAAAGTTGGGGACGCCCGTTCCTCTGTTTAATAATTTCCAAGAGGTCATATGCAAAGCTTGTGAAGGTCAGGAATGGCGAAGTGGCCTTGGCACATATTTTCTATCACATTATCTACCAATGTTGGCGTGCTTATAATGCCAAAGATTCACGACAAAAGTTTATGGAGCGCCTACAATTATTGCCTTTAACAATCTTTGAGTGCCTCACCGAACACATTTCCGAGGGGAAAACATCAACCTGATTCAGTTTTTCCATAATACTATTAAAGGTACTGGAATGCTTAAAAAGTTAAAACTCATAATACTGTTAATTTTAATTAGATCCAACAAAACACTGGAATGTAACAAACTTAAAAAACACCTTTTTTATTCACGAAAAACTGAATAGCATTCAAGGGATAAAAAAAAGCTAAAATCTAAAATAACATAGAAGTTATTTAATCCTAAAGGGACAGCCAAAGAACAATTCAAAGATCAAAAAAAGAAATTTTTTTAGATTAAAAACAATATGAAAACTCCAACCACCAAACTCAAGAAGAAATCCCTCACAAAATATATTAACTATAAAAGCTAAACATAATACATAAGGAAGATTTACCAAATTCATCAAATCAAGTCCTCTCAGCAGCTCTTACTTCCTTCCCCAGCCAGCATCAGAATAGTCGCTTCCTATTTCTCATATCATCCTGAATTCAAGAGAAATGTAAGCAAGTTCAAATATTTAAACTGAAAAATTACATACAGCTAATATTCCAAAGAGATTAGTCAGAATACAGGATATTAAAGCATAAAGTATCACTATCCCCAGCTACAGCCATGACACAAAACTTGGAACAGGTTTCAGAAACAAAAATGGAAGGATTATAACACATCAAACATATTATACAAATAAGAAAGGCATATAATACAGCCCCAACAATGGATATCTAAGGGCTTGTCAGCTGCTAACCAGTCTGCTACTTTATACCAAAGGCCATCGTTTTTTGTTCTTATAGCTACGGAAGATGATCATATCCTCCTGAATATTTTTGCTCCAAAAAGATCCCTGCTAATCTTGAATGATAACCGTTTCCTGAGACGGCTTCTGATTGATGAACTCGCCCTCAATGGCTGAGATAAGTTTCGCCTAAGATCAATATTGTTTCGGTTGCTTCTCGAAGTCATCCCAACTCGCATCATCCGCCGAGGAGTTCTAAGAGCCACCTGAAGAGGCTCGGAAAAAGAATCAGACCCTTCATGGTTTATCAAATTCAGACACAGTGGACAGGGAGGTTCTTGAACCAGACTCTTTGGAGTCGTCTCCTCCAAGCATTCAGCATGGAAAACATGACCGCACGGAAGAACACCGGCAATAGGCAAGTCGATGTTTCTGATGATTTCGTGCAAACTCCAGGGAGATTTCTGCTGCAGAAGCCGGTAGCATAGCCCACACTTCTCAACATTAATATCCTCCGCAATGTCAACGGCATGCCCATCGAAAGCAAAGTCGTTGCTGCTTCCATTACTCCATCTAATTCCTTCCCTCCTAGAGTTTGAATCGGTGTCTGGAGAGACCCCAACCTTCTGTAAATCTGATAGGGCTTTATGAAATTTGAGGTCAGGGTTTAAAGTGGTCTCAGGCCATGGAGGAGAGTTTCTTGAGTGATCGCTAGGGAGCATCCTGTGGCTTGAACTGGCTCCAGTAATCCCACTTGATTCGCCATCTGAAACGGGATTGTGGAAGACTAGGGGATATACGGGTGTTGACATGAATGAGCGCCTTCCTGGAAAGTTTCGAGAAGGAAGGAAGGTAGGGTGTTTGCTAGAGGATGCCCCCCATCTACTGGATTCCGTGAGAGGAGATGGAGAGAAAAGACTGTGAGATGTAGGGGAAACTCTGGCCGTGAATTGCCGCTGCAACCATGAAAGTAAATATTTAAGTACTAAGAAGAGCTATGAAACTTTGTAGCAATTCATGATGAAGAAAAATGGAGCTTTTACATCGCTGCTCTGAGGAGATGCCGTGGAATCTATCCTTGCTCCTGAAAAATTTTAAGGGACTTGATTTAGATGAACAGAGAATCAGAAGAATCCAAGCAGTCAAGAAATATCATAAAACTCTGATGCATCCTAACAAACAAAATTCTTATTTGCTGAAGCTTAAATACTGGCTTCAAAAGCGGTAAGCAAGAAGGAATTGCTTCAGTTTAACAAAAAAATAGCTCTATCAAACAAAAAAAAAAAAAAAAAAAAGAAAAAGAAAGTGCCTTTCACCAAAGTTACACCAATAAAAGCTTTGATATAGATGAAAGATTTTAAAAACAACTTGAAGTGGTAGCTAATTGTTAAGCCAACATACTAAATCATAAGAATAATCTAAAGAAATATTTCAGCATATAATTAAACCAAAATATTTATAAAGTAATTCAAATTAAGTAAAAGATGACCTAGGAGCATCCTTACTACACATGGAAGCAAAAGAAGATTTGTCGTGAACAGGAACAAACTCAATTTGTTTGAAAAACATTATATCATTGTTCGGCATCAACATCTTAACATGTAATATACAGGAGAAGCATTCATATATAATAAAAATACCAAAAGAAGTAGGGAGAATTTTTTTCCTTCTCGAACAATCACATAGCTGCAAATTAAGTAGCAAATTTCTCAAGGCTTTCATATACACAACTCAATTTAATTATTCAAAAAACACTTTGATGCGATAATCATGGTTGAATTCACCTTGAACAAGGACACGCATACAATCACCATGAAAACATTTCCAACAAGCATTAAATGATAAACATTGTTTCCAAATTCATAAAACGATTTAAGCAAACACAATACACATTAAAAGATAAACAGATAAAAAACTAGTATATATTTTCCAGAATCCATTTTGTTTTCATCAAGGGATTGTGGTTCTCTGCTATGATTGATTTCATTTCGAGATCAAAACTTTCACTGAAAATTTGATTTTTTTTGTAACTATTCATCATTTTTTGTACTTGTCTGTTCGGTTAGTTTGCTTCCACGACAGATTTTGATGATTAGTCTTTTGCATAAGTTACACAAAATTGTTTGCATCCCATTTTAGAAACCAATAAAAGAAAGGGATGTATATATTTCCATTCAATGAAGCAGTAATTACATATTATTTGATATGCATTAAAAACTTTTATACATCGAGGCATCCTACGTCAGATATACTATCATAAGTGAAGATTGCATTTTAATATCTTCTAGACATAAGATACAACAATGCATCAATTAACAGAATAAAAAGTAAAGGAAAATGTAATTTATGCGAGTACAATGATATTGAGAATCATATTCCCACATTCAATTGAAGGCGTATATATTCTAAGGGTATTTTAAACTGGATATATAGTTTGGAAGAGTTCTTAGAAATCATCTATAACAATTTCCCAAAAAAGTTTAATCTGATAAAATAAAACTAGAATGCTTGCGCAATATTTTGGATTTAAATTATTACTTACTATAACAAAATATACATAAAGTGATATGAAATATATACTTTAAAAAAATATATTTCTCATTCAATGATTATATAGACCAACTTTATGATCAATTTAAGAATTTTAAACAACATAGCTACAATGTAGCTAGATGCTTCATAAGGTTTAAAGATATTATAGCCAAATATTATTTGCCTAAATATTATTTTATTATGACTATCTATTTTACTATAGAGCTTAAACAAGACAGTAATAATGAATTAAACTACAATTCTCCTAAAATATTTGATGAAACTTATATAGCGGGACAGAGCTTGATAATTCTTACCATTATCCTCTTAGTAAGAAGAATACAATGTTTATTTTATTGGAAATCACTAGCATATCATCTAAAGCTTGTTAATCAATACAAGCATCATATGTAATCAAATGCAGTCTTATTAAATAAAATGTGAAAATGAATAATATTTAAATTATATATTACATGAAAATGGATTACACTTAAATATGACTCTACATCTAATTTTGTTGAATCTAAATTTACACTTAAGTTTATAAAAACATAAGTTCATGAATTTGAACCAAAAATTGAACAATAGTTAAAATATGAATCTAAAATTGAACCTAAGATCATGTGTATATATAAGACTCGATGAAAATCTAAATATAAAACTAAATTTAAGATCTATCATAAACATAAACCTCAATTAGAATCTAAATTTATCCCCAATTTTAAAATCGAACAATCACCACATGTTGAAGTTAATAAATCAAACAAAACAGCAAATAATACAAATCCTTAAGAAATATCTACTGAAATTATTTCTACATCAACAAATAAAGGAAATCCATCTTGTTTTTAGTCATTGATTTTATTGATTTAAATTTTTATTTTAAAAATCTAGTGAAAAAACAAAGCTGTCAACAAATTAATGGGCATATTCATTGCTGCCTTCAAGAAAATACAAAATTCAAAACGTCATTTATCTAGTTGAAACCAGTAAGGTATAACTTACCACCAGTCCACCACTGATCATTAATCCATTTGGATTAATTTTTTTTCAAAATAGGTTATCAGTCCGTAAGACAGATAAGTCGAACTTCGGTGATATATCTGTTATTAAAAAGAAAACTTTAGAAATACTACTAAATATCAATTTAAAGTTTGATTATCGTTTTGTTACACTTGAAATTTATTATGATATATCTATGTTACGTGGGTGACTAGCCTAAGGGCAAATTTGCTTTTTGTATGCCTAAGGGCAATTCAGTCTTTTATTTTCTTATTATTATTATAATTATTGTTGGGTATAACTAGGCTTGTTATGTCTAAGATTAGGGTGATACATGAGATTGAATGGTGAGTCTTAGGTTTAGGATTAAGGAGAGTTTTCCTACCTCTCGAATTATAGGAATTGGGAGAGATCACCTACCTCTCAAATTGTAGGTGCTTATCACTGTAATCTTGTTAAGTTGTTTGATTTATTAAAAAAATTTGTGTTCGCCTTAGTTTATGTGGAAAAGCTTGTCAATTTTAATGTCGTGTCATATCAAATTGGTAGTAGAGCTGAAAATTGTACAGATCGGGCACCCATTTCAGCAGAAAGCTAATTCAAAGCTCGAACTCTTCACTTGCAATTGCATGCGAGGCAAGACCCGAAACTCGTCTTCGCATGTAGTTGCTTGCAAGGCAAGGCGAAGGATTGCGGCTTACTGAGACCCCAAACTCGCATAGAGTCGCGTGCAACGGAACGCTAAAGATTGCGACTTACCAAGGTGCAAAGGATCACGCTTAAGGCGACGTGCGGGGACATTGTAGTCCGGATCGGTGGTTAGAGACCCAAAATTCCATCTTTTTCCTCCTCCTGCCCACATGATATAGTCGCTATCACAGTTTGCGGGGTTGGCGACGACGTAGATACAATCGTGATCATTGCTTGCTAGGAAAGCATTGACGGGCTAGCAGCTTACAGAAGAAGAAGTTAACGACGACATCAAAGCCTTCGTCCACCCGCACTGTCGTGACTAAACCCTGTGATACAATAGATTAGAGCTTGCTGTGATAAAGTCGCAATCAAAGCTTGCTGAGAAGGCTGCCTTGCGCCTTCCTGACTGAACCCTGCGATACAGTTACAATCAGAATTAGCAGGGAAGGCGAAGAAGAGAACTTATCAAGTCGTAACAGAAAGCTAGGAATAAGACAGTGATTCGAGTTACCCTGAGAAACAGAAGAGATTCCAACTTACATTAATCTCAGTCTCGCTAAACCGCATGAAATAGACTCAATCAGATCAAAACTAGTAGGGAAGGCTGTGACGAGATCAGGCGTGCCCAAATAGTGACCCTAGAAGTCAGCAATCGAATCTGGAATCAAGTGTGCCATAGTGATGGGAAATAATGAAAGCTAAGAAAGTAGATGATTTGGAGAAGAAGTTAGAGGAAGAGATGAGTTAAATCAAATTTGGAATGGACGAAAGGTTCGCCACCATAGAAAAAAGGTTTTCTTCTTTGGATAGCCGATTGGAGGACCGATTTAAGAGCATGGGGAAATTTGATTGGAGGATCAATGCTAAAGAGGCTCATTGAGATGCAATCCAAAAATCCGCCGACGGATCAATTCGCAAGCTCTAACCAAAAATTGACTATAGAATCTATGGCAAGAACAAAAAGAAAAGAGATCGAACGTGAGGAATTTGTGGAGGAAAACATCCACCATCACAAACACCTTCGCAGGGCTCCGATTGGGGGTGATTTTTTCTGATGAAGGCGGTTGGGCCGAAACATGGAGAAGAAATTATGCACGAGGTAAATGAGAGAAACTAAGAAAGGATATGGTTATGATTGAAGAAGAGGGTTTTAACCTCGAAACATAGGGCGAAACAACGAAGGAAGAGAAAGTTGGGGTGGAGATGTTAGAGTTAGAAAGTTGAAGATGCCGATCTTTGAGAGGGAAGACGCACATGGGTGAGCGTATTGTGCGGAAGAATAATTCGTGGTGCATGGGCTAGATGGGAAAAGGAAACTCATGGCGTCAAGGTTATGTTTGGAAGGGAAAGCTTTGACCTAGTTTCAGTGGAGAGATGCTAGAAACCCGGATTCAATCGTGGAATTCAAGGATTGTTTATTAGAATGCTCCGAGCAATTTGGAAAGGACCACACGAGTAATTCTATGCCTTATCTCAAAGTGCGACAATCATGAAATATAGAGAAAAATTTGAGCTACTATCGGGATGACTGTGAGGAATTTGTGAAGGATGATTGAAAGGAATTTCATGAAGGGCCTAAAGCCCAACATATGGGTAACACTCCAACTACTGAGACTGTAGGGATTGAGAGAGACGATGGGGCTCGCCTAGATGACTGAAGACAAAAGCCACATGAAGAAGACTAGCAAAAGCAACACATATGGAACGTTGTAGTAAACTACTACAATCACAACGATACCAAAAGCTCAAATAGTGGAAATCCATAGAGATGTTGTATAGAACAAGAAAAATGGATCATGACTAGAAGTTACACTCAAGTGTTTTACATAAACAGAAATTCTGGAGAAGCAAGCAAAG